TAGGATAATGCAGCTTACTTCGAGATCTCTCTACAGAACGTTTTTGCTTACTGTCAATGGCTGGCCCCATGAAATGTTCACGGAACTTTTGAGACGCGTTTTTGATTGAGAAACTTGGTCATCATGCTGCATCATCCGGTGATATTTATGGCACGCCAACATTTTGGCTTTTTAGGCAAGTCTTTTCGATCGCTTGCAAAAAACAATCATGGTACATAATCACTTCGTATATGGTATGCTTTTTCCATTGATGTACGATGTTATTCTTAATTTACATTTATTTTACTGAAATTTTACTTTATTAATTTGGTAGAAATTATTACTTTTTCACATTGTTTGCCATAAAATTTAAGTGTTCAAAAACCTTTCTAATTGTCATATGATTTTCTGTCCGATTTACCCTTGTATTTGAATTTAGGACTTTTAGTCTACAGGATGCATACTTTGCACGTAAGGCAAATCATACGGTCCTTTAGTAAATCAAAGACATGACATATAATGCTTAGGATATTTTGTACTGGATGTGGGCTAAATTTCCTACAACATAAGGGACATTAACAGAAGAATAGATAAGGTGGTATTTGAATGGACATTTACGGTCTAAAAAATGTCACATGTAGAAACTTTTTCAAAACAAACCCAAGCAACAATTACTTCAAGTATAAATATGAAGACCACATGATTGAGCTATCAAATGACTAAAATAAAGGATTTCGGGGGATGTTTTTAACACCTGTTTGAACTCAATAGGTCACCGAAAAGCAAACGAAAAACAGGCTATGACATAGTCATTTTTTACAGACGTGGGTTGATGCGAGCAGTCGAAAGGAAATTCCTTCAAACGTCGGCATACTGATACGTCCGGAATATCAGGAGATTAGGCCACCGGTATAGCGAACCCGGTTACGTAATCCTTCCTAATTCAGAGCGTACGCCATCACTGTGCTTAACCTTTAATCAGGATGGTCACTTAATGTAGTAATTAGAAATGACAGCGATTAGTGAACGCTAGACGCTACACCCAGCCTATAAGCATACACATGTCGGAATACATGCATTCAAAATAGCCGAAAAAATAGAAAAAGGGCAAAATTATCTACCTGAACATGATGAGAAGAGACCACGGCTCGTCGAGGAAAACCCGGACGCCGCAGCAAAATCCCATCGCACCCACTTTTGTAGAACGAGCGCAGCGATGTCCAACGCGATGGCGCCGAGCACAAAGAGAAGGCCCATTAACACCAGAACCAGCCAGAGCAAACGTGCTCCCCGCATGATGGTTTCTGTCTGTCTCTGACGGTCGTCGTCGTCGTGTACAAAGCCACCATCAATCGGCTTCTGCATCCGGATTGGTCCACTTACCGAACCGAATCACCATTGGCAACGGCCAATCAGGTGGTGCTGTTGGTGGTAATGGCGGTGGAAGTTTGACCTCAAAGATAAAAGGTACGTATTTATGGAAGTTTTAGTCAAAAGACCTTACTGGCTTGCATCCCCTTAAAAACAGATCAGTGGGTTTCTGCCGCGCGAATAGGCGTAGCCGAGAGCCACTTCCGCAAATTTCAGTCAGGTCTGCGTGAAATTGGTTGAATTTCCTTTGTGAAAAAATCTGCCGGCCGACGTGTCAACAGAAAGCAAAAACTGTCCGATAAAGGATCGGCAAAAGGGGGTTATTAGCTCATTTTAAATATAAAAGAAGATTAACAGGTATCATAACATTTGCTGGTTGTCAGAGTTTGAGCTAACACTTTGGGGAAATGGGGCAGTGTGGAAGCAAGCACAATTAACATAAACAGGTCAGGTCAGGTTTATTAAGGGAAATATAGGTAAATACCTTTGAACAGAGCAGCTATGAAATGCATTGGTTCAGCAGAACATGTGGCGTTTCCAGCAATGGAACTGTATAAAAAGAGAAGGGAGTGAAAAAACTCCTTAGGCATTGTCCAGAAGGGGTTAAATGCCATGTGAGGGATTCTAAGGAGAAAAACTGTCGCCCGTGGGGGGAGGAGGGGGGGGGGTAGAGTATATGGAAATCGGATGGCCTGCTGCTGAGAGTGTTTGAAGCATGTCAGGAGCGGCCCATCGCGGTTTTTATCAATATCCTAAGGGTCACACGAGAAGTTTGCAGAGGTCACGAGAACATCACCGAGTGTCCCTTGAGTACTGAGGAAAGACGCAGTGAGAGTTGGAGACTAGAATGGTGATATCTGGTCCAATGGCCACCCAGAACTGGACCAACTCCAAATGGAAACAGGAAAAACGCTGCATGAAAACTCCGAC